TATTTAATCAGTTTGGAGGGGTCTGGTATTTAATCAGTTTGGAGGGGGTGGCTGAGGATCCCAATGCCTTCCCCCTGCCTTATTACGTCCAGCTTACTGGCTGCTTTCTTGTCACATGATCATGGCACAGAAGGAGGCCCTTTGGCCCATCATGTCTGTTCTGCCCCTCCTCCAATTTTGAAGCAGTTTTGTGGGTGATTAATGTAGATGGTATTCAGCCACTTGCATGTGAAGCAGTTGCCACTCAGGGAGCCTAAAAAGCCGACCTGGGCTTTTTCCTGCAGGCTTCTCGCTTCCAGGCTCCCCCTTACAAAGGCACGCAGTTCCTGATCGAGGGACCCAATGTCGAGAACAGGGAGCGGGGAATCCCCACTGAATGCCAACTCCTTACTCTGGCATATGACCCTCTTACAACATACTCCCACCCAAACCTTACTCAGTGTGACCTGGGCTACTCTTGATCCTGGGCCTGTGGTGGCTGCATTGTTGGTCACTGCCAGGCCCAGGCTGTCTGGTGTTCGGTACCTGGGGTCCTTGTTCCCCGTGGTGGCCACTCTAAATGCCTGAGAGGCAATTAATACTTTATGCCCTTCCCTAGGGCTCTCAGTGCATCTCCACAAGTGTGATCCCTGGCACCTTCTTTTCTTCCATTCCTGGGATGGGGGCATCACTGGCTAAGCCTGCATTGATCGCCCATCACAGAGAGCAGTTAAGATTCAACCATTTTGCTGTCGGTCTTGATGTGACATGTACATCAGACCAGGTGAGGATGGCATTAGTGAACCAGATGAGATTTTCCCCCACATCCCCAACAATGGGCAATTCATTCATGGTTATCATGAGACTTTTAATTGCCGGTTTTTAAAAAATTGAATTCAAATTCCACCAGCTGTTATAGCAGGATTTGAACCCTGGTCCCCAGAACATTACCTGAATAGCAATCTAGTGATAATACCACTAGGCCATCACCCTCTCCTGAAAGGTTGTGGGGAATGCAGGCCTTCATTAACCTTCATTAACTACTGTCCTTGGACAGTACAGTGTGAGAAACAGGTATCCAGGCAACTTGTTATGCATGTTACCAGTTTTGAGGAAGGGTCACCGGACTCAAAACGTTTACTCTGCTTTCTCTCCACAGGTGCTACCGGACCTGCTGAGCTTTTCCAGCAACTTCTGTTTTTGTTGCTAATTTCCAGCATTTGTAGCTCCTTTGGTTTTTTGCGTTAACTTGTGTTAACTAGATATGACACGTAAAAAAATCAGCAACAGAAACAGAAACCGCTGCCTAAACTTCAGAAGTTCTGAGGAAGGGTCAGTGGACGTGAGACGCTAATCCTGATTTTTTTCTCTTCACAGATGCTGCCAGACTTGCTGAGTTTTCCCAGCGATTTCTGTTTTTGTGTCTGATTTCTTGTACCCGCAGTTCTTTGGTTTTTTTTTTGTTAGTGCAAAGCAGCAAAGTTTCTGTGGAGAGTGAAGAGACATGACAAAAGACACCATGGTCATCCACTCGAGTCTAAAGATACCTCCAGCCACAGTGGTTCTCTGTGGTGCTGGACACAGGTCTCTCTCCCAATGTAAGGCATTCAGGACATGTAAGGATCACAGTATATTGTATCTAAGCCCAGTAATCCAGCTAACTGTGGGATCCCAGATAATGTCACCTTGTTATTTTGGCACAAGTATGAATTGGAACATGAGCCAGAAAAATTATCATAAAACTTCGGGTGAAAAGGCCAACAGCACTGCACGTGAATGAAAGTTAAACAGGCTTTGATGGTATCTGGAGCTTGCAGGATGGTTGTTTGTTCTGTATTTTTTTCAGTCCCCCCACAGATTGTGCCCATCCTTTCTATTTTCTTTTCTGGTTTAAAATATCTAACATTCCAGTGAGCCTGGTGACTTTGGAGAATCATACAATGCAGCAGGAGGTCCCAGTAAATCTGTGCTGGCTCTTTGAAAGAGTTATTCAATTAAGATAGCAGTGTTAGGTCAACAAATGAACTGCCTTCTTCCAAAATAAGAAATGGAATCGTGCAATCCCTAATTATGGTGGCATGGTGTCTCTCTGTGGTTAGCGTCGCTGCCTCACAGCACCAGGGACCAGGGTTCAATTCCAGCCTCAGGCGACTGTCTGTGAAATTTGCACGTTCTCCCCCTGTCTGCGTGGGTCCCCTCTGGGTGCTCTGGTTTCCTCCCACAGTCCAAACATCTGCAGGTTAGGGTGGATTGGCTGTGCTAAATTGCCCATAGTGTCCAGGGGTGTGCAGCCTGCGTGGATTAGCAATGGGAAATGCAAGGTTACAGGGATAGGGTAGGGGTGTGGGTCTGGGTGGGATGCTGTTTGGAGGGTCGTTCTAGACTTGGTGGGCCAAATGGCCTGCTTCCACACTGTGGGGATTGTATGATGTTTGGCCAGAATGGTTCGCTCACAGCCTGACCCCAGCACTGAGGAGCCTGATTTTTCTGGCTTCTTACCTTCGTGTACACATACTGGAGAGGCGATGGTTTGGTGATAATGCCACTGGATGAGTAATCCAGGAGGCCAGTATAATGCTCTGGGGCATGGGTCTGGGTCCCTCCATGGCAAACAATGAAATCCAAACTCATTAAAATTCCAGAAATAAGAAGATATCCTTTCGTGACCAGATTGTCATAAAAACCCAACTGGTTCACTGATGCCCTTAAGACAGGGAAGTTCTCTTTAACTGATCTGGTCTGATATATGATCCCAACCCACAGCAATGAGGACTCTAAACTGCCCTCTGTAATGGTCCTGTTAAGGGATGATTGATTCCTACGAGTGAATTTAAATAGTCTTATGGAGCCACTGTCCTTCACCGTGGAGATAGTAACGTGTTTGGTAAATCAATGGATAAACTATTAATGGCAGAACACTGAAAGTGTTTGGTCCCTTCTTGTCCCCATACCTGTAGATTTAAGTTCATCACAAATATCGACTTATAATTCTGTACAGTGAGCCTAAAGCAGGGGAAGCTTTCGTTCTGAAATGACAGCGACACTCATCCACAGAACATGGGAGACGGAATGGGAAAAGCTTTGGTCGGAATGGTGCAGAAAATGGCCTAACGCCGGGTTGAACAGATGTGTTTTAAAAAGGCTTTTAACGAGAGAGAGGGAGAGAGACACAGATAAGGCTGCATTTTGCCCAGTCCTGGAATGGTCAGCTGGGAAGCTTGGGGGCTAGACCTGGAGAATAGCTTTGGGAGTCACTTTGGGATGGCTCCCTGATGCATTCCCACCAGTTGGGAGGTTTCTGGGTGTGAGCCAGTGGGAAGATTAGCTGTCTGCTGTTCAGAGGTGGGCAGTCCATTGAATTGATTAAGGTCCTAAATTTCCCCCACTGGCAGCACCTCTGCCACATTCAGAGATGGACAGCTCAATGGGGATGGCGACCCAGTGGGAATCCAAGGGGGCGTCAGAGCCAGAGGCGGGGGCTACATCCACCAAAGCGCTGTGGGTCAGATGGAATGGTTCCCTCTTCAAGCTGAGAGACCTTTCCCCATCAAATTATTCATTTATTTTTAGTATTGTAGTTTGTAAGTATGCCCCCTTCATGGTCACCAACCTCCCTTAGCAGTGCCTGATGGGGCTCCAGAACCAGCCGTCCTCAGAAAGGGTCATCGGAGGCGAGGTTGGATGGGGTGGAATGTTGCAGCAGACAGATGGGAGGCCGCTGCCAGGAAATTCCCAGCAGAGTTTTCCTGCAGCCAGCAAGCCGGTGCACACATCCCGAACCTCGAAAGAGAGGCCCAGGCCACCGAAGAAGCAGGACACTGTCCCAGAGACCAGGACCAGCAACATGAGGGAGAGAGGCCCGGAGGATTGGAGTTGGGCTTGGGGAGGTTATGAGGGAGTCAGAGGGACAGGCTAGCGATAAACTCCACAGCTGCGGTGTGGGCTTCCTTTTCCTGTCCTGGGCTGAGATGTTTCTGTGACCAACAGCAGATGAGTTGCATTAAGCCGTGTCACCACAGCGTATTTCCTTCTCTCTGGTGCGGCACCTCAGGAGCGGTCCCTCTATCGAAGTAACGTCTCCGTGTGAGATGTCGTCGCTCTGACACCCACGTTTGCCTCTTCGCCCCCACAGGGACGCTTTCGACAGCTTGTGCCAGAAGGCGCAGACACTGAACGAGCTGGGCTACGGAGACGGAGGGGCCACACGGCCTGCCTTGCAGCTGCTAGCCAGGCACCAGCAGCTGGCCAAGACAGTGAAGGAGAAGCTGAGAGCCAGCCAGCTGGGGCTACAGGAGCACCAGGTCTTCGAGGAAACGCTGCAGAGCACATGGGCCTGGCTCAGAGAGGTTCAGGGCAGAATCACGGCCATCGACAGCACCATGGGCAGCAAGGCCACGCTGGAGAAACATCTACTTCAGATCCAGGTGAGATACAGATCAGAATGGCAGGTGTGTCGGTCAAATTCAGGTGTGGGATGGATAGGAACAGACAGCTCCAGGTGTGGGATGGATAGGAACAGACCGGTCCAGGTGTGGGATGGATGGGAACAGACAGCTCCAGGTGTGGGATGGATAGGAACAGACAGGTCCAGGTGTGGGATGGATAGGAACAAACAGCTCCAGGTGTGGGATGGATAGGAACAGACAGATCCAGGTGTGGGATAGATAGGAACAGACAGCTCCAGGTGTGGGATGGATAGGAGCAGACAGATCCAGGTGTGGGATGGATAGTAACAGACAGATCCAGGTGT